TTTTAAGTCATTGAGAACGAAGGCTTTTTCTTCGCAGGATTTTGACCGTTTCACTCCGTTCTTTCGCCATTTTCCCACTACATAGCGCCCTGCTAGCATTTTAGGCCGAGCACCAAATCATCGTGCCAACTGCCTTTAAAAGGTCCTCGTTCTGAAGGAACCTTATCCTGTTTGAGATGAACTCTATTTGAAGACGCATTCCCTAATGAGCGGGTGAGTGGGCGGAGACTCACAATCGTTGCGTCTTCCTTGTTGGTACCCTTCCTTCTAGCAATGAACTGGAGGAGGACTGATGAGAAGGGCCTGATGGTTGCGCGTTTCTGCCCATTTCTGCACTAATCTTATTATCGCGGAATGTTTTATTGAACATCCCAGAGAAACCGACAAGCGAGTCGCATGTTAATCAAAAAAAGCGAGTGCTTTTACTTCTTTTCCAAAAGAGAGACTAGAACGAGGAGGTGCCAGGATAGCTTCACCGGTTCTACCGTCGACGGAGGTTTTAAAAGTCATTTCTGTACTGTTATTGGAAATGGTGCCTATTTAAAGAAAAGCAACACAAAACTTTTTTCCAGCTTTATCCCTGCTGTGTTACTTTCTACCAAACGTACCCTCCGTGCGTTACTGTTAGTAATACAGCTCAGTCTGTACCCTAAATGACCACATGAAATTACCAGCCATCGCCTAGGCGCAATCCATCCTCCAGCCATATCTATAAGTCTAGAAATTGTAAAAGTGTTGTTTTTCCTATCAACATGTCTCCTGTTTTCAGCAGGCGAGTGAAGACGTTGTACGCTTGCACGCCAGATCATGAGTCAGAATTGTCATTTCAACCAGGTCAAATCATCACAAACGGTTAGTTTTGGACGGTATACTTGAAAAAAAGCACATTTGGTGTCGGGGTGTAAGAGAGGTGATCGACGTCGTCGCGACGCAGGGAATTCTCGTTTAATTCCGTTGCATTAACACCAAATCCTTAGGCTGCGTTCATACTTTGCGGCAGCGTACGCCAGCGTTTCCAGCGTTCGCCAGCGGCAGTGACAAGGAAAGGATAGATATCGATCTAGCGTATGCCAGCGTCACCAGCGTGCGCTAGCGTAACGCTAGCGTGCGGGCAAGGGCAAGGAAAGAATAGGCATCGATCTAGCATTTCCAGAGTTTTACTAGCGTTTGCGACGTTTCACTAGCGTTTGCAGCGGCGGGGAGTAGAGACTATGGGAGAGTAGGAGAGTAGCGAACAGTTCGATTAGGCGTGCTGTGAAATTGCGGCGTGTGTAGCCGCACCGCACTACTAATACCGTACACTAAATTGGTTAAATTGCATAATTATGTGGTTTGGCTGTTGGAACGGAATGTTTTTTACATTGTCGCACCGGAACTGAACTGACCTATGAAAAGGTTGGCTTGCAGGTACCACGGCTGATCTGTTGAAGATTGTTTCATTTTTATTTGGTAGTTTTTAGTAATTCGTATGAACGGTCTCTGGTCGAATATACGGCTGACAAATACATGATCATTCTTATGAAAGATCCTAAATGGTCCCAACGAGTTTACTCGTAATGATGATGATAATGATCGTTTTATGCTTTGCATTCATGCGTTATGCAATTCAACCATTGCATTATGCAATTTGAACAATTTAGTGCACGGTATTAGTAGTGCGGTGCGGCTACACACACCGCAGTTTCACAGCACGCCTAATTGAGCTGTTCGCTGCTTACTCTTACTACTTACCCAACTCTCTAAGCCCGCCGCTTTGGCAACGCTAGTGGAACACGCTGGCATTCGCTCGACGTGAACGCTTGAAACGGCAGATCAGAATATCCTTATAACTTTCCTTACAACACGTAGCGCTAGCGTACGCTGGCGGCGCCAGCAAAGCCTGATTGAATATGCTTAACAGGAGGAGGGGCACAAAACGCCACCTTCGTACCGCAGCCAATATCACAAAGTTTTCGCAGCCAGGCGCAGAATGGCTATATGAGTAACCAGGGCGGGGATACCAAGACATGCTTAACTTCTATCAGGCCAGGAGTAGAGGCGCTCGCCACTCGCCTTAACTGTACACAAATATGCAGGTCGATCTCCAGCCGCAAACCTGACTGGAGAAACGCACTTTCGGATACTGCTACGGAAAACTCATGGTCACCTCCAAACAGACTGCGACTTCTAGTATGGCGTCACCATGGATAAACTACGCTGGAGAACCAGTACTCTCCAACTCAGAAGACCCTCCATTCATCGACTCAGCTCCGTTCAACGTCGCTCGCGCGCCAAGGACATCATCTTCACTGCCCAGCTCGCCGTAACGGCGCCCCAGTTGATGGACCGGACCGGACGTACCTGGAATGGAGAGACCAATATTTTCTTCGCGGGCAACGGACTGAAGGTGAGCACTGGCGGTTACATCGAGCAACTCGAGAAGAAATATCCCACCCCCACATGTCGTCGCCCGCTTCTTGGAAACTTTGTACTGCTACAGCATTGACTGCCACTACATTGAACATGAGGGGCACGTTGGAGAAACACTCGCCTACTTGGAATGGAGGCGTTGAGTACCTGAGGAAGGTGGAATATTCAAGCAGGTCATCTGACCCAAACCCCCTCAATTACCTGGTTCGGGCGGAGTTCAATAGGGTGGTCTACGGTGGCGGAGAAATCGACTATCTCGCTGATCTCAGGCACCCACTCACGGAATCTCTCGATGGCGCTCCTCCAGAAGGCTGTGGCGGAGTATCATAATAGTATTTGATATGCTCTTTAATATGGTGGTGAAAATATCCGATAAGAATTCAATAAAGTGTAACTTACAACGCCTCGAATGTCAAGGAAGAAAAAAGTCTTTTTTTTTTGTTTTTATTGGCTCCCCCCCCCCCTCCTGTATATCCTTTCCTGTCACTGCGCTAGAAAACGCTGGAAACGCTAACGTACGCTGGCGTACGCTGCCGCAAAGTATGAACGCAGCCTTATTGATTTTTATCTGAAAGTGCTGCGATCTTGTCTGGTCAAGCTGCTGGGACATATTTTGCTTCTGTGCGCTGCTACGACGTGGTTCGCACTGGGCCTCGCCTGTAATGAGCAGGTTATCATTGGTAGGAGGAAATTACGCTGTTGGTGGACGTTTTCGGACTCTAAACATTTCTAGCCTGTTGTAAGATCCTCAGCACTTTATTGAGAGCATATACGGCGCCATGACTTCCGCCTTGGGCTGTGCTTCGAATAGCTGCGTGATACAAAGCAAGCGAACGCTTGTTCCAGGCTTGCGGTACCTGCTTTCCTATTTTGTTGCTCGCTTTTTTTTGCAATAAACGTTCCAAGTAAAAGCAGTAGCGCACTTTGGCTCCTTCCTTCCACTCGGTGGTTTTGATGCGGTGTACTGTAAACATCCAAACTTCATCGCTTAATAAGTTACCTTTGCTTGGTTGATGCGAAGTGCTGCAGTTATAGGGATATCCACGTTAATGGCGATCAAAGGTGCCGAGGATGCAAAAAGTAGTGCAGAACCAACCCAATTGCTCCTGCGAACGAGAGGGCTTATAAAAGAGTTGTTGGGTTCAGGATGGCTTGTCGCTATGAAAAGGCCATTCTGGCTGCGCGTCTCAATTCTCACACGCCGGCTCGTTTGCAAGAATACAAACTTGAACGCCACACCCACATGCTCGAAAAAGATTGAGCGGACATCCCAGATCGTGCTCAGCTCGTCCCTTATCCTGTCTTGGTAATATAGTAGGCAAGCTGGGCAAGATCTTCGCCAATTTTTTTTGGTGTGTGTGTCAGAAATAGGTTACGTTCGTGAGATTTTATAATCAAAGTCACCATTCAATAATCAACTGCGCATCAAGTGTGAACGGTGGTTGAAGCGCGGTTTATGTGGTCATCAAGATCACTTAGAGTAATACCTCTGTTGTAGTGTACGAATCGAAAGAAGAAGGCTGGCTAGTCGGCACACTCAACGGGAAGACTGGTCTAATACCTTGCAACTACGTGGAACCATTGCCGTAACGCTGCTGTGCTTCGCTCTGTTTGGATTTCAACGGATTGACTACGATTCAGCGCTACAATTTGCGCTGATTCATTGTGATTCTTATGTACGGGTATTATTCGTAACGTTAGAGAATCTCTTCAGGGCATGTCGTTGTCAGTCTGATGTTTTTTCGCGATTATTTGCGAATACTAACAGCCAGTGTTTCACCGCTAAGTCTAGATATGTGTCGGTCCTCTCGTGATGTGGTTTTTGTCGTTTTTCTTGAGATTGTAGCTTGGCTTCTCGGAGTACGGCTCGCGGTTATTCTTCGTCATCGTTTCAGTTGCTTTTTGTTTCTTTTTGCTTGTGAAAGTACAGTTCTATATGTAGAGTAGATGAAGTGACGGGTATCACCCCTCCTATCCCTATGGTTTAGAGACCACCAGCATTTGCCTGCTGCAAACCGCAGACATTGCCCTCGCCTTCCGCTCATTGTCAAATGCGAAGTCCGAGTGTTTGTGGCGTGTGTGTGTGTCGGTTGCTGGCTTATGCTTCTGCTCGTTGTGTATTGTCCTCCTCGGTTTGGGGTCTCGCCTACCTGATCAACTTGGGTTTCGCTCTTAGAGAGCATCTCGAGGTTGTATAGTGTAACAGTGATCCATTTCGACTTTTGTGCGCTCCTAGTCGCGCAGCGATGCTTCAGCAGCAACGTTGCGATTTTGGGTTTTTTTCACATTAGTATGTTGTATAAATTTGTTTACGGTGTCTTTTTTGTGCATTGTATCACCGAAGAAGCGGAGGTGGTGTAGCGAGAGGTACCACTCGGGCGGTCCTGAGTTCAGATCCTGGGTCAGCCTCGCACAAGCGAACGAAGCCTCTACCCTTCAGGAATGGTTAGTGGGTACCAGACTTTTATGAGACGATTAGAACACTGTTTTGTACATCAGCTGGCCCCCGCAAGTCATTGTATAGGCCACATCGCATTCAATAAGCCACTACGATTCTGAATGGAAGTAGAATGCGTGCCGCATCCCACAAAGGGATTGATCAACGGCGAAGACTTTATCCTTATTTTTTCATCACCCAAGGTGTCTTTATGGTTACCTTGGGAGCAGGTTAACCCGTCATTGTGGCAGTAGTGTGTGCCCTTACCTAGGCGAGAGAAACGTGAGCCTTGACGGAAGCACTGCTGGCCATTTGATGAGAAGTGACGAACATTAGGGTTGTGCGACTAAGCGATGCGATTTCTTTTCGTTGTAAAAGTACAATTCCATAGAGAAGATTGAGTGATGGGCCCCTACGTGACAAGAAGCGGCCACTGACTCAATCCCCTCTGCGTAGGGCTTACTCACTGGCATACCATAACGATG